TTTTTGGGGGGTACATTTCTCTATGAAAAAATATGCTTGTTTATGTAGTTACCTAAAGCCTGCTGAAGACATAGCAGATATAAGTTGATTTACAAGAAATTAGCAATTAAGTGGCAAACTGTAGCAGTAAAGAGAAAGGGACGCTGTTTTCAACAATAGTTGAAGCTACAAAACATACAGCTACTGAGTGTTTTGCTTAAATGACTATTGAGCAAAAAAAGAGTGTTAGAAGAAGATATGCAAGTATTCTTCATATATATTAATTACTTCCAAGGATGATTGTTTTAGGAACATACTTGATTTTGTATTTTATGTAATGTTTCAGATATGAAATATAGATATTACTAACAAAGGTGCATCCACCAGGTTAGTCTGCCTTTGATCTCTAGGGAAGTTTCTCATTGCTATCAATGGGATTTGTCCATTAACTGCAGACAATTCTGTATATGCACTGTACACAGTAGAATCCACCATACACAACATGGAAGAACAATGTGCAAATTTAAAACCCCATTCTGAGATCCTTTATTCTTAGAAACATCAGAATCATCATAGTGCTTCGTGCCACTGGTCCAGCTACTCCAATACTCTAGATTCAATACAATACTAGATTCAAGAAACATCCTAGTAGACAATTATGGAATACCCTCCCAAAAGAGGAAGTTTTTTTCCTAAATCCCATCAGTTAGTGGTTGGTTTATGCCCTGAGACATGAGGGTTTATATGCCTTATATTTTTTATTCTATCTAATGTAATTGTGAATATTCTTATTATACATATAAATGTCTGATCCTTTTCTGAACCCAATCAAACAACTGGACCCTATGACAATTTTATGGCAATAAATTCCACTGATTATGTGCTGCCTTAAAAAGTATTTCTTCTCTCAGTTTTAAATGTGCTGATTTCAATTACATTGGTTCCCCTTATTCTTGTATTAGTAAAAAGGTAAAGGGATTATCGGACTTTCTCTATATATTTCATTGTTTTATATAACTGTTGCATGTTCCCTCTTATTTGTCTCCTGTTGCATGTTCCCTCTTCTTTGTTTCCTCTCTAAACTGAACAATCCTAATCTTTTCACTCTCTCCGGATATGTAAGTCTTTCCACGCATCTAGCAATTTTTGTTGCCTGTCTTTGGACCCCTTAAATTTCAGTTTTAAATGCATCCGAAGAAGTGGGCTGTAGTCCACGAAAGCTTATGCTCTAATAAATTTGTTAGTCTCTAAGGTGCCACAAGTCCTCCTGTTCTTCTTTTTGCAGTTTTAAAAAAGTATATAGCAGTATAATATATCTGTGATAATGGAATAGATATTATGGTTGACTTGGCGT